TGTCTTCATTTCTTCATAAACTTTGTCACATAAATTTTAAAGTCCTTTTTAATAGCTACAGCTGATTAACAAGTTCTGAAACATATATGCCCTTTTAGTTTTTAGTGAATGGGAAACTAAATTAACATGTGAATACCTTTATTTATACTAGTTAGTTGAGATGGACTGAATTTTTGCGTCCCCTCACCAAAATTCAGATATTCAAGCCCTCACCCTCAAAGTGATACTTGGAGATGAGGGATGAGGGAGAGGTAATTAGGGTTAGTTGGGATCTTCATGACGGGATTTAGTGCCTTTATGGGAGACACCAGAGAGCTTACTCTCTCTCCATGCTCCCACAAAGAAGAGGTCATGTGAGCACACAGTAACAAGGTGGAGGTCTGCAACCCAAGAGGAGAGTCTTCATCAGAAACCAACCATGCCAATGCCCAGATCTTGGACTTCCAGCCTCCAAAGCTGTGAGAAATAAATTTCTGTTGTTTAAGCCGCCCTGTCTATTGATATTACAATATGTCAGTCCAAGCAGATAAATACAGTAATGTATTTGTTACTTAGTGTGCCCCCAGATTCTGGGTTACTCCAGGCTTCACAGGTTAATTATGGCCCATGGAAATAGGAAAATTGAAACATGGCAATAGAAGGGGACACTTTGTTTGTAAAGTGCATTTTATTGTATTGCTTTGCATAAGGATTGATTCAGGAAAAATAAAGGATTCTAAATCACCATTTTTCCTCATTCAAGATGAAAACCTTTTTTTTTTTTTTTTTTTGAGACAAGGTGCCTATCACCCAGGCTGGCGTACAGTGGCATGACTTGGCTCACTGTAGCCTTGAACGCCTGGTCTCAAGCAATTCTCCTGCCTTAGCCTCCTGAGGAGCTGAACTACTAGCTCTTGCCACCATGTCCAGCTAATTTTTATTCTTAAATTTTGTGTAGAGATGGAGTCTTGCTATGTTGGCCAAGCTGATCTTGGACTCCTGGCATCAAGCAATCCTCCTGCCTTGGCCTGAAAATAGTTTCTGAGCTTCATATTTCTAGAAATGCTGGCTTCCCTATTTTATTGCATAGAAGAATGCCAATGAGAAAACTGTTATTGATGTTTAGTGATCACATGTTAACATTTGAGCATATTTGGAAGCAGTGACATGGAAGTACAATGTAGTCATTCCTTATAGTTGTGGAACTTTACTAAATGCATTTATATTTTTATATGCAAAATTTTCTTTCAGTTTCATTTTATGAATGGAGTAAACTCAGATTCAGAGAAATGGATGTCTATCACAAGGTAGCACAGAACCAGAGCTTGATTTAATTTATTCCACTGAATGAAACTTTTTTTTTTTTTTTTTGAGTCAGAGTTTCACTCTTGTTACCCAGGCTGGAGTGCGATGGCGCAATCTAGGCTCACCGCAACCTCCGCCTCCTGGGTTCAGGCAATTCTCCTGCCTCAGCCTCCTGAGTAGCTGGGATTACAGGCACGCGCCACCATGCCCAGCTAATTTTTTGTATTTTTAGTAGAGACGGGGTTTCACCATTTTGACCAGGATGGTCTCGATCTCTTGACCTCATGATCCACCCGCCTCGGCCTCCCAAAGTGCTGGGATTACAGGTGTGAGCCACCGCGCCCGGCCTGAATGAAACTTTTTCTGAGCACTTATTGTATGCACACTATGGTCTCCACCATAGGTCTTTCTGTGCTGTGGTGGTAACATTTTCTCTTAGCTTCCTGACTCACTTAAGCCATACTGTACTTATTTAACTCAGGTAGCTCCTGGGGCCCTAAAGATCTAGACTACCACTGGACTCTGAACCCACAGCCAGATGTGTGGTGCTGCCTCTCCTAAGGTGCAAACCTGTCTCTGACAGTCCCTATCAAACTGGAGCCCCTTCTGGACCAGCAATGGAAAAAGGGTGTCTCTTAACCGCCAAGGTTTTTGCTTGGAAAGCTTTCCTTCAACCCTCCTTTTCTTTTCCCCATTCTGATTAATCCGTTTTATATACAGTGAAAGGGAGGTTTGAGATTTGATCTCAAGTCCAAATGAGAAGCTAGGCAGGCAACATGAAACTCACAGGCCTTAATTTACTTATTGTTCTACCTTATCCTGAACCAAACCTTTCACTAGTAGTTCAGTGGCCATTGGTAGTGAAACGATGTCCCAAATTCAACATAAGACTTGCTCTTGATGAAGCAGAAGGAAGCAAAAACGTTGCTGAAACAGTAGGAATTTGCAAGGCAAGAACAATGAAAATAATGCCACATTTAATTGAAAAACAGGCAAACTACATCAAGCAGTGTTTTGAAAAGACAAGCAATATTTAGTTCTCACTTTGTATTGATTGTGTACAGAGAAGATAAATCAGGAGCAAGATATGTAGCAGTGATTGTCAATATCTGAGGAAAAGTTAATTCCTAAAATTTTTATTCAAAAAATTGCTTACATGTCTTCTAAACTACAAAAGAGTGCACAGTAACAACTTTTGAATTTAAATCTGTATTTTTTATTCTTATAATAGCTTTGTCTTATTTTGAGATAGAGTCTCGCTCTGTCACCCAGGCTGGAGTGCAGTGGCGTGATCTCGACCCACTGCAACCTCCACCTTCCAGGTTCAAGCGATTCTTCTGCCTCAGCCTCCCAAGTAGCTGGGATTACAGGTGAGCACTATCACGCCTGGCTAACTTTTATATTTTTAGTAGGGATGGGGTTTCGCCATATTGGCCAGGCTGGTCTTGAGCTCCTGACCTCGTGATCCACCCGTCTTGGCCTCCCAAAGTGCTGGGATTACAGGCGTGAGCCACCGTGTCTGGCTATTTTTTTATTTTGACTTTTTTTGAGACAGAGTCTCACTCAGTTGCCCAGGCTGGAATGCAGTAGCACAATCACTGCTCACTGCAGCCTCAACTTCCTGAGCTGAAGCAATCCTCCCACCTCAGTCTCCCAAGTAGCTGGGACAACAAGCATGAGCCACTGCATCTGGATAATTTTCTTATTTTCTGTAGACATGGGGTCTCCCTGTGTTGCCCAGGCTGGCCTTAAACTCTTGGGCTCAAGTGATTCTCCTGCTTTGGCCTCCCAAAGTGCTGAAATTATAGATGTGAGCCACCATGCCCCGCCTTGTCTTATTATATTATCTTTAGATCTATTATGCCCCAGAAATATTTATGTCAGACATGGATCATGTCATATAGGAGAAAAACAGAGAGTGCTTTCAGTATATTTTAAATATTTTCAAAAGAACTACACTGGAACCTCTGTGATTGACTGGTACAGAATTACCAAATCTGATGGCATCCCAGTATTTCACTAGTAATAGTGTTCTCAGAAGAGATCTTATGAATAGCGCTATCAGCATGGATCCAGCATATTTTCTGAAGTACTTTGCCCTCAGTCCCCTAAACTCAAGGAAAGAAAATAATACAATTTTCCTTCATAGAGTATAGAGAAGCATTGTGGTACATAGAAGAATACAGGAATAGGTGACAGGAAACTGCTGCTTTAGTTTTGGCTCTGAGATTTTTTAACCAAATCATTTCATCTTTCCAGGTTTTAATTGCCTCATCTATAAAAATGGAGATAGTTCTTACATCATTAAATATCTGGAATGATTAAATAAAATAGATCACAACATGGTATTAAGTAGAGAAAAAAGGAAAAAAATTTTGAGGGGACAATATATGCCAAGTCCTATAGTTAAAAGTGGAACTCTTAAGGGCTCCTTTAGACTCATGATTGTACCAAATCACAATTTTAAATCAAATATTTAACAAAATGCTTTAAATTTAAATAATCCTCTTTTACTCTAAAAGAAACTTTAATACATTTTAAGGCTTACTATTACCAATTCTCAAAAGGAGAATAAATCAACAGTTGAAAAATAAAAATGCTTTCTATAAATATTTCCAGATGTGTCATCTGTTTGGCAGACTAATAATTCATAGTAAAAATAATCTGTATATTTTACATTTTTATAAAATATTTTTCAAAGGGGACACTAAATTGAATGTAATAAGTTAAATAAGCATACTATTTAAATTTAACAATAGAAAAATCTCACAAATTATTGTTATATTTTTCTACTATCTCAAAATTACTTTATAGATGGAAATTAATTTTGTATAATATTTTAAAACATTCTATAGATAAAACTTTCTCAAACAGAATTTTAATCCAAAATATTACCCATCAAATTTGGGGGAAAAAAGGATTACATATATCAAAATAGTCTAAAAGGACATTTAGTTGTACCTGAAAATAAAATTCAGTAAAATCAAAAACATCATTAAATATTATAGATTAAAAGCTTTAGCTGTTAAAATTAGAAAAACATCTAGGTACAACTATTAAACTATAACTATCATGAGAATTTAATAAATGTTTCAGTAACATATTTTTCTATTAAACACAAATATACATATAAATATTTAGGAAGAATCCATATCTTCTGATTATAGATGACAAACCTGATAGGGTCCCAGCTTTTTATTTGACCTTATATACAAATAACTTGAAAGTAGTAAAACACATATTTTTAATCATTTTGGTATATAGTTAGGTCAGATTTTATTTCCAGTAGTTTTCCATAATTTCTTATGAGAAAGGCCAGCTAATTATGTGAAAAATAATTTAAAATTACTTTATATTTGATATTTAAAAGTCTAGTTAGAATACATATGGCATATATATATATCTTTATAAAAATAAATATCTAAACTATTGATAGATATTTTGTTTCTTAGATTAGGTAGATAAACTAAAATATTCTAGAACATAATCTGAACTCAAAAAAAATAGAAATCATCAATTCAACGTATAAATATAGCAGAAGAGTTCCTTTCATGTTTGACATATTGACCATATGTGTCTAGGACAGCCCTCTGAAAGATATTTTTTACTCCCTAAAACTTTGTTACATAGAAATTTGTAATTTTTACTCAATTCTTATTTACTAGGGAGTTCTGCTATTCAAACCAAAGGTTTTTGCAATTAAACCAAGGATTACTAGTTTTTCACTTTTTTATGTTTAAGTGGTATAACTCCTTTACATACCTTATATAATAAAATGTATCAGGAAAAGCTATAACTCTTCAGATGTAATACATAGTTACTTAGGTGATAAAGAGTTAATGAAATTTTCAAGGTCTGCTAAAGAATTTTGAAGTCCGTCATTAATATCTTGACTTCTAAGAAATTTTTTCAGAGTGTCTAAAGCAGTGATTGCCTCAGATTTTGATGGTAAAGGTAGTTCAGTTCCTGGAGATCCATCATCATCTTCTTCATCAGAAGTGTAAAATCCAGTTTCATCTGATTTACTTTCTTTGGTGTGTACAGAATCACCATCCGGTGCTGTTTCACATGTCTCCAAATTGTCATCCAGGGCAGCATACTCTTCTATAGATAAACCTTCAGGAAATTCTACTCCTGCCCCCAGAGCATGGGCAACCAAATCCAGACTGGTATCGTTTTCTGCATTTGTTACATCACTTTCTCCCTTTTGAGATTTGAATCCTGCCTCTTCATAGCTTTTAACAATGGTCTCTGGGGTTACAGCCCTCCAGCAAAGATGCAACGTATCAACTGCATCTAGGAGTGAAAATGTAAATTCTTTGCTACTTTCAACAGAACTTAAAAATTTCTTGATAAGACACTGCCGATATTTGATTTTAAGGCTTTTAATAATGCCTTGTTTCATAGCTACACATTTGGAAGATAAACATGATGGAAAGAAAGCTAACTCAATGGACTTTAGGTTATTTACCTCTGGATGTGCTGGAAAAGACTCAACAAAAATCACCACTCTTCGTTGCTGGGCTTGAAATTTCTCATCAAGCTTTCGCATCCATTGTTCAAATACATCTGAGGTCATCCATGCCATTCTGTTAGCTTCATAACACACGGGCAATGATTTTATACCTTTGAAACAATGAGGACTTCTGTTTTTTCCAATGACAAGCAAAGGAAGTTTCTCTGAGCCATCCATATTTGTGCCAACCACCAGAGTTATTCTGTCTTTGCATAACTTTCCAACTGAGCATGTTTCGCCTTTAAATGCAAATGTATTCGTAGGTAACATGCGATAAAGCAGCCCAGTCTCCTTTATATTAAAAACATTTTTAGGGTGATAATCATTTAAATAATAAGGAAGTACATTTTGGTACCAGACAGTCGAAGGGTCTGCTGATACACCTGTAGCTTCTACAGGTTGAGCTCTGAATACTAAACCATACCTGGATTTAAAACGATCCAGCCAACCATTACTGCACTTAAAATCATTATGGCCCAGTTTCTGGGCAAAATCATTAGCTTTTAGACGCAACATCGGACCATTAACTGGTACATTTAGACACTGAGCAATTCGATACCACCTCATTAATGCCTCTTCCAGATCTGTG